AGTCTTAGATAGGTATGCAAAAATAAAATAAAGAAACTGAGGTGCTGCTAATTCTTAGTGTTTTGGGTGTTTGCCTCTAAAATCATTGAGTAAATTGGGACATTTCCTTCAGCATACGCTCTGCTAATTTTGCATTTTATATAGAAAACTATAATCTTGATTATTTTCTAATTCTTTTTAGTAAACAATATAATTTCAGTGCTAGGCTATTTAATCTCTGGGTAGATGATACGTTGTTGATAAGGAGATGGATGCTTGACAGAAAGGAATTTTTCTGTGAAACCAGATATGCCACTAGTTATATTGAAAAGAAGTAAAAATATAATGAACCATTTTAACATTTTTATAAATTTAACATAAACTTATTTGTTTGTTTATTAGTCACTTCAATCACAATTTGCAACTCTAGGAGGCTTTCCAGAATTATAAGACGGTATGAAAACAATATCTTCAGTATTCTATTCCTAGAAAACATAAGATCAAAAGAATAATAACTAGTATTTTTGGAAAACCTATTAATCTGAGTACATTTGATTTTCTGCAACAACCATTTAATTTAACCTATAGAAGGAAATTCATTGTGAAAACAGTATTAATTATGGGAACATTTCTCTTTGAAAGATTTGGAAGGAAAGGAAATTATAATGTAGATAGTCCTCGACTTAAAACAGTTCATTTAATGACCTTTCGAAGTTACAATGGCATTGAAATAAGTGACTTATGACCATTGCAGCATCTCCACAGTCACATGATTTACGTTCAGATGCTTGACAACTGACTCACATTTATGACAGTTGCAGTGTCCTGGGGTCATGTGATCCGCTTTTGTGACTTTCTGACAAGCAAAGTCCATAGGGAAGCCAGATTCATTTAACCGTGTTACTAATTTAACAACTGCAGTGATTCATTTAACAAATGTGGCAAGGAAAGTCATAAAATGGGGCAAAACTTACTTGACAAATTTCTCATTTAGCAACATAAATTTTGGGCTCAATTGTGGTCATAAGGAGCAGCGGTGGAGCAGTGAACTAAAGTGCTGTTAAGTAGCACTTAGCTGCCAGCTGCCTGCAATTACTGCGAGTTCAAATCTCACCAGGCTCAAGGTTGACTCAGCCTTTCATCTTTCCGAGGTAGATAAAATGAAGACCCGGATTGTAGGGGCAATAAGCTGACTTTGTATATATAAAAAAAGAACACCACTTAGTGGGGGCCGAAAGCCCTACTAAGCAGGTATATACAAAAGTATGAAGGCTATTGCTTAACGCATTATAAACCGTCCTGAGTCTTCGGAAAAGGGTGGCATATAAATCGAACCAATAAATAAACAATAAATAAATAAGTTGAGGACTACCTATAATGAATTATTCTGCCTTTGTTGGAAGCTTTCTACTTCTAAGAAGCTTATTATCAACAGTGTAAATTCTACTAGATTAAACATATGAAAATCTTCCAATTACTCCTTTTGGTTTCTCTTAAATATGGAAAAATTAGTTTAGGCTATACCACTGGTAGGATGGAACTCTGTTATGATACTAATAATAGGAAGGTACTGTTTTGGAAACATCTATAAACATTGGTGAATTTGAAAATATAACTCATGACTGAATTTTTATTGAAAATGATTTCTAATCTATTATTGAAATACAATCCAGAACTTGAACAGGTCAAGATTGTATGTTCAAGTAGATGCAAATTTTTAATATAGTTAAACAGATAGAACAAATATTGAGTTCACTTCAAATATATTTGGAAACCATTGATATAAGATGTTTTATCACTTGGTATATTACTTTAGTCATATTTTCTAAAATGTTAGCTCCATTTCCCTGAAATTTTTTCATATGTAGTGACAATATTACAAAGGTCAACTAGAAATAATTCATCATGGAACAATTTTGAAAGTCGTAATTTCATTTCAACCTGACATATGCTATTGAACTTCACACATTTCTTCAAAATATATTGAATTGGCATTGTATATAATATCAGCTACAAAAATATGTTTAAATGGAAGTGATCATAGAATCCTTCTATGGAAGTATAATTAAATAAATTGTGGGAATATGCTTAAGTGCCTAAAATAATTTCATATCTAAAACATAAATTTGATGCAGGATTCCGTTGAATTTGGAAACCATTTTGGACTATATGGAATTATGCTATATCCCAATTTTGGTTTATATTTAAATCTGATATTTAGCCACAGCAGCAACACAGAATACAATACAAACTTTAAATAATTATTTATCTATAGCTTTTTCTTCCACACTTATCAATTTCAATAGTGTCCATATTTTGATATTTCAATAGGGTCATGTTTTTACTAGAAGTTGGTTCTAAAATACCTTGTCTCTGAAATATTAATGATGTACTAAAATATATTAGCCATATGCTACTTTAGGTCTGGTTGGTTATTTGAGATTTGTTAGCTATCCTCCCAAACCTTCATGTTTACACTATTTCTCCCTTTTTCCATTCCCTTTTTCCATTTCTCATTGTAATTCCTATAATCTTTTGTATCAGCATTATTTGTGTTTGCATTAGCATTATTTATACTTATTTTTCTTGAAATTATAATACTAAAATAAACATTAAGGAATTTTGCAACAAGTCATCAGTTTGAACTTCTTAAATTGTAAGTAGAATGTCTGCTTATATAGAATATATTTATGTTTATTTGATTTATTTATTAAATTTATATGCTGCCTGTCTCACTATCAAGTGACTCTGGGCAGTTTACAACATGATAAAAACTACAATATAAAACATTAAAGTGTTAACTATTAAAATTAACAAAAATTAAAATAGGAATTATTTAAGAACAATGGAATGGAGATGGAGTCTTTTTAATTCACTAACCACCTCCAGTAAGGAACATCTGCATTAGGCCTCAGGCCAACTGGCAAAGCAAGGTTTTGAGGCTCTTTCAGAAGACCAAAAGGATTGGGGGTATGCAGATCTCACTTCAAGAAACATGATGTTCCAGAAGGCAAGAATCATGGCAGAAAAGGTCCTTTTCCTGGAAATAAATGAATATCAGTTTCTTAAGGAAGAAGGTGTTGATCCATGTTCCCCAAAAAATCCATTATTTATGTGATTACTTTCTTGAAAGGTTGCTGCTGCAGTTTTATTTTGAAGCTCTAGATCAATAGGGATAATGCACTGGCCCCTGGCAGTGAAAAGGGCAAGCAGGGACAGTGTGACTCAGCCCAAAACTTATTTCGCCTTTGGGGAGGGGGGGCACTGGAAAGTGAGATGAGAAAGCCTTTGGAGAAAAAGTTCAGGCGTCATTGTTCTGGACTGGCTGCTTCAGCAGGAAGAGTCTTTGTGGCAGTGACCATTGGAGTGGGTCATCCTTCACTCTCCCTGCTTGCCCGCTCCCTGCCCAGGAACAATCAGGTCTAGAATAGCATGCCAAGGAAAGATCCTTCTCCTCAAGTCCAGGTATGATAGATAGCTTATCAGCTAGGATGTGGATAAAAATCCCAAATTATTGAGTCCGTGTGTGTGCATGTGTGTGTGCAAGGATAAAATGCTCCTGGTTCCGACCAGATCACCCGATCTGGTAGCGACGGCGGCGGGTGGTTTGGAGATCTGGTAGCAAAAATCCCTGCCCCCCGCCCCCCATGCTCAGCTGAGCCGTGCAATCATCAGAGGCTTGCTTTTTTTTTTAATTTTTAACATTATTTTTTCTACAACCTCTGGCCGAAAAAATGCTTTTAAAAGTTAAAAAAAAAAAAGTCTCCGATGATCGCACAGCTCAGCTGGGATTGCCAGAGAGTTTTAAAAGCATTTTTTAAACAATCTCTTTGGCCGAAGAGGTTGTAGAAAAAATGCTTTTAAAAGAAAAAAAAAAAAAAAAAGTTGGCCATGCCCACCCAGTCACATTTTCTCCCAAGCCACGCCCACAGAACTGGTAGTAACAAATTTTACATTTCACCACTCTCTCTCTCTCTCTCTCTCTCTCTCTCTCTCTCTGTGTGTGTGTGTGTGTGTGTATATGTATGTGTGCACACGTGTACATGCAGGTGCACTTACAGCACACCGAAAGAAAAATCCTTCCCTAAGCCAGAGCATGATTAGCAGCTTTGCCAGCTTGAAACCCATGCTCAGAATGATGTATGTGTGTTTCAGAGGTGAAATGCTACCGGTTCTCTCCAGTTCGGGGTAACTGGTAGTGATAAAAACTATTGGTTTAGGTGAACTGGTAGTTAACTACTGGTTCAGTTGAACCAGAAGTTTAAAAAGCTACCAGTTCCTCTGAACAAGTATTTCTGACCATCAGCTGTGCAGCGGGGTTTAGCTTTGCTAGAAAGCAGGAAATCCTGCTTTCTAGCAAAGCTAAATCGCGTGCCACAGCTGATCCCTCCCTGCTGTTCTACTTACCTTCCCAAGCCTCCTTTTGCTGCGCATGTGCATACAGCGTGCGTTTGGTGCACAGCGTGCATGGGTGGGCCAGGAAACCAGTAGCAAACCGGTTTGGATTTCACCACTGGTGTATTTGTGTGTGTATGTGTGTGTGTAACAGTGACTCCTGCTTAGCCCACCTTTTACAGGGCCCCCTGGAAAAAGAGGGGAGGAAGGAATACGGGCAGGCAGGAACTTTCACTTCCCTTAAGCAGGGCTGGCTTTGGAAACTAGAGGCCCAGACTTGAAGTGAGTTGTCCCTTCAGTGAGTTGGATGAGGCGAGGGGTCCCACAACAAGATGGTGGAGATCAGTTGGTGACAAGGTGGCAGCAGCGAGTTGTCATAGACCTTTTTGGATTCATCCCTGCCTTTTGTCCCATGTAAGATCTGTATGGTACTTTAAATATTGTCCTTAATTTTCAATGTTTTTTTCTTTTATATATTTATGTATCTTAGTTTGAGATTAAGATTGTAAATAATAAATACATACAATATTATTCTGTAAAAATACTGCTATCATCTTTGGGTATATGAGGTACAGTGAGTTGTATGTGTTTGTTGGTGTGTGCACAGAAAGAAACTTGTGTAGTACCTCTGGGAAGTCCACAACTTTAAATGTTCCAGCTGTTTTATAAATAAGCTCTTTTCTGTTTGCTCTTGTGGAAAGTAAGATTTGTTGATTTGTTCTTGGTGGAATGGGATGCTTTGCTGTTCCTACTCACTGAGTTTCTGTGGTGTTAGGAGAACTGTGTTGGCAGATGTAGCTCTCCTGAGAAGGAAGTACAGGTAATCCTTGAGGTACGACATCCATTCAATGAGCAAGCTGTTGTTGAAATTTACAACACCCCCCCATGTGAATCTGTTTCAAAGTTACAAATTTTGCAGCCCCCAGCCCCCCATGATCATTTGCCTTTAATGACTGACTGCAGAGACGCTACAGCACACAGACACCCCTATTTTTTCCCCCATCTTGCCCAGCTAGATCCACAGAGGCCTCCAAAACCAGTAAGTTGGCCTGCTTTGCCAATATACAGGTTCTATGCATTCTTCTCCACCCTCATTCTCCCATCACTATTCACTTACTTTTTGACGAGCTCAGGAAGTCAGTGTAGAGAAGGCTGTTCCCTCACTAGGCCACATGGCATAATCAAGAAGAAGAAACCTGATCCCTTTTGTTTCCATGGTAATCCTTTCCCCACAGCCATGGTAAACTACTATGGTGGCTTCTTAGCTCCTCCAGCGCTAGTTTTACATTAGTCTTGTTCTGTTAGGCTCAATTAATGTCATAAGTCATGGACTACCTGTACTCATTTATGTTATGACTGCAGCTTTCAGGCAATATGGTCAATTAGCAATGACAGTGGAAGCAGCATTAAGAAATCTTATTCATAGGGCTGGAAGGGACATTGGAGGGCTTCTGTCCAGCTCCCTGCCCAAGAGAGGAGTCTTTACATCATCCCCAACAAATGAATTTTCTCTCTTTTCTTGAAATAAAAAGTTTTATAATTTTTCTTGAAAACTTCCAGTGATGGGGCCCCCACAAGTGTGGGAGGTAAGCTATTCTATTGATTAATTGCTTTTAACTGTCAGAAATTTCCAAAATTTAGTTCCAAATAGGATCTCTCTAACAAGCCCTCAGATGCTTTAGGAAACTCCAGGCAGATACCCCAGGGAGGGAAGATATTTATTTTTTGATCACTTCTTTTTAAAAACAAACATTTGAATGAATCTGGTATTAGCCCATTTTGGGAAAAATGTTCAAGGGCCACAATCCCTATTCAAGATATGAGGAGAGTGTAGGTAGTATTGCTCTTTTGCAGCATACTTGTTTTTTAATAGTACCTCTCCCAATCAAAGACTGTTCACTTGACTGTTCAGTTAGTTGATCTCATTTTAAAAGACCATAAACATGATCTTGTTTTTCAGAATGTCTGCTACATTAATTGTTGCCATTAGGATTGTGCACAATTTTTAACAAGTTATTTCATGGCTTTTATCAATATTTTGATGAAATATTGATTGTGCTTTATTGTTATATACATGTGCGCATGCACGCACATACACACACACACAAATACAGAACGTTGTAAGTACGTATAAGTAGTCCTTGACTTAAAACTTTAATTGAGCCAGCAGTTTTGCTGTTGTCGTAATGGTTGTTAAATGATGATTGCACCCGGTTTTATAAATTTTGTTTGCAGCGGTCATTAAGTGAACATGGAATTGTAAAGTGAATAGCACGTTTGTTAAGGGAACCATTATTCACAATGAGGTATTTTTGATGTACTCCAGAGTAAACAGTATCACTACCAGATGGATTCATGACTAGCTGACCAGCTGCACTCCTTAATGGAATTGCATCTACATGGAGGGAAGTATGCAGTGGGACACCCCAAGGCTGTCTTAGGCCCAGTACTCTTCAATATTTTCATCAATGACTTGGATGAGGGGATATATGAGGAACATCAAATTTGCAGATGACACCAAGCTGGCACCAATAGCCAACACTCCAGAAGATAAGCTTAAGATACAGAAGGGTTCTGACAGACTTGAACGTTGGGACTATTTAACAAAATGAAATTCAATGGAGAAAAAAGTAAGTTTCTACATTTAGGCAAGAAAAACCAAAAACCCAGATATAGAATAGGTGTCACCTGGCTAAATAGTAGTAACTGTGAGAGGGAGCTTGGACTCCTAGTGGACAATCCCTTAAATATGTTTAATATTAACCCTTAAATTTGGCTGTTGTTTTGCAACAGCCAAAAAAGCCAACACAATCCTAGGCTACATTAAAGACGGATAGACTCAAGATCACATGAAGGATTAATATCACTTTACAATTTCTTGGTAAGGCCACACTTGCAATATTGCACCCAGTTTTGGTCGCCACAATATAAAAGAGATGTTAAGAGTCCAGAAGGAATACAGAGAAGAGCAATAAAAATAATTAGGGGACTGGTGCTAAAAGATATAAAGAATGGTTAGGAATTGGGTATGACTAGTTTAATGAAAATGACTATGGATGACATGATGGCAGTGTTTCAATATCTAAGGGGCTGCCACAAAGAAGAGAGGGGTCGACCTATTCTCCAAAGCATCTGAAGGCTGTAATGAAGTACAAGAAGTAATGGATGGAAACTAATCAAGGAGAGATCCAATTTAGAATTAAGGAGAAATTTTCTGACAGAACAATCAATCAATAGAACAACTTGCCTCCATAAGTTTTGGTTGCTCCAACATTGAAAATTTTTAAGAAGAGATTGAACAACAATTTTTCTAAAATGGTATAAAGTTCACTGCCTGAGCAAGGGTTTGGATTAGAAGACCTCCAAGGTCCCTTCCATCTCTGTCATTCTGTATAAACATCTATTTTTAGCAAAAACATAAATTGCTGTCACGTGACAGTGAAGTGCTGAAGAGTATGTGAGCCTGTTGCTGAGTCCATAATGCAGCCACAAGACCATGGCAGAGGATGGCCATCAGATCTTCAAATCTGGGTCGTTAGTAACCTTTTGGAGAATACATTATAATCTTGAATCGGTAAGCAACCAGTCATAAATTAAGGACTACTTGCAACTTTCTCCATGCGGTCACCATTCTCCATATATGCAAATGAAGTTGAAACATTGAATATCATCAAGTCTTGGGCCCAGTACTCTTCATATATGACCTAGGTCATCAAATTTACCAATGACATAAAGCCAGGAGAGTTGCTCACGCTTTGGAAGTGTCAGCTCAAGATCCAGAAGAATGTTGACAGGCTTGAGCATTGGGCCCTATCCAACAAAATGCAGTTCAGTGGAGAGAAAAGTAAGTCCTGCACTCAGGAAAAACCAAATGCACAGGTATAGAGTAGACAGTGCCTGGCTCAACAGTAATAATTGTGAGAGGGATCTATTTGTCTTGTTGGACCACTTCTTATACTTAAGTATGAGTCAGCAGTGCACTCCAGTTTGTAAAAAAACCAACAGTTCTCGGCTGCATCAGCAGAAAGATAATACCAAGATCAAAGAGGTGATAGTATCACTGTACTGCCCTGTTGAGTCCACATCTGGAATACTGGCATCCAGTTCTAGTCCTCAATACAAAGAACATGCTGAGATCTTAGCGTGTAGAGAAGAGTAACAAAGATGCTATGGGCCCTGGAGGCTAAAGCCTATGAAGAATGGCTAAGGGAACTAGGTATGTCTAGCGTAACAAAGAGAAGATTGAAAAGAGACATGATAGCAGTCTTCTAGTACTTTAAGCAAAAAAAAGTATCAATTTTTGTATTTTAATTTTTCAAATTTGCTTCAGTGGTGTGATTAATCAGAATCCAAACTTTTCACATGCCTCACTGACATACTTTTATAGTTTGTTGATGTTAAGCTTTTACATGTGAAACTTTTAAACATGCAGATTCATTATTTTTAAAATCAACCTTCAAAATCAACCAGAAATCTAAATTGCATAGTGAACCTCTTAAACAATTTAAATACTGTTTAGAGATTAATTATTGAATTTGTTGCGTTTGTTCTTTAAAAAAACATTTTAAAAGGATTTTTATAGCCAATTTTACTACAAATTGGTAGTAGTCATAGACTGCTAATTCACCTATATGTATAGGTTTAGAGTGAAAAATGGGGAACCTCTACTATTCTGTAGTGCATGAATAGTTTCTTCAAGCAATAGTTTTAACATTTTGTATTCCCACAACCAGTTAGCAAAATCTGAAAGGAGTTTTTTTCTTCAAAAGGCAATAGGACTATTTTTTTCCTTGAGGAGGAAGAAGAAAACATTTCACTTCTCATTCAAGAAGCTTCAACAGTTCTGATGGCAGGAGGATAGAAGGATAGGTACTGACAGTTGAGACTGAATGGTGTGGGAAATGGAAGGATTGTATTTTTTTGCAAGTCACCTGGTCATAAACAACCACTTTACAAACACATTGCACAACATCGGAGATCAAATCTATCAGGACAAGATTCAGTGGTCCATCTGCATTTGAAAGACAGCAAAGCCCACATTTTGGATACAGAGTGCCATTGGTTTGAAACGGGTAAAACAATCTATAATGTTAGAATTGAATGGGCCCTATCAAATAAAATGAAATTTCAAGTGGCGAAAAGCAAGATTAAGCAGGAAAAACCAAAGTTACAAGTACAGATTAGGCGAAAACTGGCCCAAAAACAGTAACTGTGATGGGGACCTTGAAGTCCTAGTGGATGATCACTTAAATATGAGCCAGCAGTATGTGATGGCAGTCAAAAAAGCTAATACACTGTGCACAGTTATTAGGCAAGTGAGTATTTTGACCATTGACCATTTTGATGCTTATATAATTGATGTTAATATGGAAGATAGTATACTTTATAACAATGATAATATCTACTATGTTTGTATGTTGATAGGATCATAATGATTATGAGGATGTTTAAATTTCAGCACTATTGTTACCTATAAAACACACTGTTCAATTTAAAAATGGAATTTGTGATATAAAAACAATAAAAAAGATAAAATATGTGTGGGGGGGAGAAGTACATGGTGTTCAATGCTCAGAGTTATGGTCAAGGTAAGAAAAGTGAAACCCACCACTGAACAAGACACATAAGTTGAAATGGGCCAAGTAATATCTGAAGACAGATATTTTCAAATGTTTTATAAACTGATGAGATGAGAATGATTCTTGACAGACGAGATTGATGGGGCTGTAGCTGGATAAGTAACAGGCACAGAACTCCACTTCGACTTGGACGCCAGCAAGGTGGAAGTGGAATACTGGTATGGGCTGGTATTATTAAAGATGAGATAGTTGGACCTTTTCAGGTTGAAGATGGACTCAAAATCAACTCCCAAACTTACTGCCGGTTATTAAAAGATACTTTCTTCAAGCAGTGGTACAGAAAAAAGTTTGCATTTTTCAAGATCATGATTTTTATGCAGGATAATGCTCCATGGCATGCATCAAAGTACTCCACTGCATGGCTAGCCAGTAAAGGCCGTAAAGATGAAAAAATAATGACATGGCCCCTTCCTCACCTGATCTAAACCCTATTGAGAACTTGTGGGCCTTTCATAAACGGGAGATTTAAGGTGAAGGAAACCTTTCTGAACAGTGTCTGGGAAGTTGTGGTTGCTGCTGCACAAAAAGTTGATCGTCAACAGATCAAGAAACTGACAGACTCCATGAATGGAAGGCTTATGACTAAAAAGAAGGGTGGCTATATTGGTCACTGATTTTTTTTTTTTTTGAAATGTCAGAATTGTTTATTTGTACATTTTGAGTTGTTTGTTTATTGTTCTCACTTTAACGGATGCAAATAAATGAGTGA